AGCTATAATGATAATTTGGATCATTTACCTTCCAATCTGACGACAAATTTTTCTTGGGATTAGTAAAAAAATCGAAGAAGACTTCATTGTTATTATTATATATGTTGCATGCTAAAAACTTGATTTTTCTATTCAATTAAAAACAAATTTTTATCAAATGGCGCAGCAATTAGTATGAAAAAACAAATATCAGAAAATTAGCAACCCTAAAGATGACATAGCAGTTCGTTTAGCACGTTTAAAATTACAAATATTTTTTATAAAAATTGTTTTGAGTCATCAAACATTAATTTGTTTATGATTAAATTCACTTTATAAATCTTGGACGATTTCTTTGACACATTTTTACCCGGTACAATATTTTTAGTGCTATAAATTATCATTTTAACGAACAATTATTTCTAATTTAACCCTCACTTCCGTTAATTTATCCGCCTATTTACAATTCTGCTTTTTTATTGATAAGCCGATAATATAAGCAGATTCACTCGCTTGGAACTTTATTCGGGTTTATACAAAGATGTTCTTATTTATTGTTCTGTATACTAACGTTACAACCTTTTGGTTTTATATTAATGAAACTCTATCTTTTTTACTATTATGGATCATAAACCCAATTTATTAATGATAAATTAAAAACCTGGTCAATGTAATCAATTACTATTGATTAATTATTTGAAAAACTTCACATTCTTCTACTTTAAATTCATTTTCAGTTTTTCTAATTGGTTTTTCATAAAAATTTTTTTTACTATAACAATAATCCAACATTTGAGTAGATTTCCATATAGCAGTTTTCCATATAGTAAGGTCGCCGCCACCAAATGATGGACCGCGATTTGGTCCGTTATTAATGGCGTAATTTTTATTCTTTACACGACTTAAAATGTAATCTTCAATTCTATCAGTATTAAAAGAAAATATAAAACTATCTTTAGTAATACACCACACATCATCAGACTTCCATTTAATTGGATTATATCCTCCAAGAATCTCATTGCCGCTTTTCACTTTAACGAGTGTTACTGTGGAAGTTTTGTCGTCGCAAATTTCGTGAAATTTATTTAGTGAAAATCCATCACGGGATCCACGAAATAATAGTTTATACTCATATGAAGAAGTTAACTTGTCAGTAATTTCTAATCTATCAATCCATTTTGAGATCATTTCAACATGTTGTGATGTAATAATTTTTGAATCAATGGCTTTTAAATTAACTTTCTTAGTTATACAAGGTTTTAAATTATCACTTGGCTTGATATTAGGATCCGAAAGACTTAAAAATGTTTTTAATAAATTTATAAATAATTCTTCAGATAAGATTTCTCTATAAGGTAATACTTTATCCGTAAATTCTTTATTGGTCAAATTGTAGAATTTAATAAATGGAATAAATTGTTGTAAAGTACTCTTTAAAGTGTTAAAATCATCTTTTGAATAATTTGTAATATCAGAAGGAAGTTCCGGATTTTGTGCATGTCCCCATTTAAGAATATGTTCCCAAACTTGAATTTCACTCATTTGAAGATTATCATTTTGAATTATTGTGATCAAAAGTTTTTCTGGAATTGAGGAAAAATTTAATGAGTTGAATATCTTAACTGGTTCTTTCGTCATTAAATCAGTACAATATTTTTGAAGTTCGGAGAAAGAATCATTTTCGAAACTTGTTTGATATATCAAATTAAAATTTTGTTCCATCCAATTCGCTTTATTTTCGATCAAAAAAGATTGTAAATAGGGAATTAAATCCTGAAGACTAAGTTCATTAGCGGCAATTAGGGTTTGAATTATAACTGAATTATCATATTCATTTAAAGAAAGGTTTCCACCATAAATATACCTAAAAAAAAAAAATAATTATTTATAGAAAATAAATAATAAAATTATTTTATTTAATTAATTATTATTAAAAAGCGTCAACTATTTTTATCATCATTATAAATTTTTTTTTCTTACCTCAAAATTATTTGAAAAATTTCAGGAGAAATATTTGGTAATTTAATATGTGTTAAAGTTTCATCATTTTTCTTTTTATTGGTTGACAAAATTCTTCGCAAGTAAGGAGAACGATAATGTAAAATTACCATATGAGCACGAAATATTTTTATATAAGGATCATTTCCAACTTCAATAGTAATATCATAATACTCTTCATCATTTAATATTTCGGTTAAATTTTGTAATAATTTTGGTAATAATTTATTATCAGCCATTTTTTTTTTTTTTAAAAAAAAAAAATTCAATTAAAAAAGAAAGAAATGAATCCTAATTTTGTGGATTGTCCAACCTTATTATTACATTCTGCATAACGTCACATTTATGGCACGTGACTACATTTTGTCACGGGTATGAAGCGATCACACGTTTTCATTTTAAGGATTACTTTTCATCATATTACGAGTATTTTGGGAAATTCATGAATTAAAGCTGTAATAGTAATTTTGAAGTAGCACATTCTTTAATCACGTTATGAAAATGTGACGAATCGAGATAATATTACTACAATGGTTTTATAAAAAATTTACATCCGAATCCCGAAAAAAAAGATTTCCGACGCTAGTCGGACATCGAAGAAGGACTCCAAAAAAAGGAAGCGTCCGGAATGAAGGATGATCAGAATAAGAAGCTATTTGGGCAATATAAATATAATGGACAGAAGGTTAAGACCCGGCCAACTAATAATGGAAAGGCCAACAAAGAGTTGTTAGTAGAAATTAGTGCCTTTTAAAGAAGCATGATAGAGGATTTGTTAAAGTAATGACAATAAATTGTAACAAAAATTTAATATTAATCAAACTTGCATTAGTTCATATTATTTTATTAGATTTTTTTTAAAAAAAGTTCGTTTCTCTTTTCTTGAGTTTCGTATCGAAAGAGAATTTTAAATTACTTAAATCGGAAGATTTTTTACGATCCCTTCCATATTAAATTAGACCAATTATTGAAACTGTCAAAATATAATCGTACTCTTTAACCCCTTTGTATACAGTTCACCCTCGCTATAGTGAAGCTCATGGGCTGAAGGTTAAGATTCACTATAGTAAGGGATTCACTATAGCGAAGGTGGACTGTATTAAGAATTATTATTTATATAGAAAATCCGTACCTGAGCTTTTCTTTACTATAGCAAATTATTCACTATATAAAAATTCACTATAGCGAGGGTGAACTGTACACCAATTTACTTTTCTTAATTAATTTTGCCAAAAAAAAGTACGTGGCCTTCACTGCATTTTCATATTAAGATTTTATTTTTATGATCGTAATGGGACACAAAAATCGGCGTTGACGTGAAATCACTAATCATATAAATTTAACGAGTCGCTTTCTTGTTTTTTTTTCATAAAAAAATTTGAGCATAGATATATTATGAGGAGCCAATAAAGGGTTAAAATCTATTATTTTTAATCATTAATTATTGTATTTTATTTGTTCAAGTATTAAGTATTTTAAAAAGTTCATTAATTAAATAAATAAATTAATTAAATTTATTATAAAATTAAATAACCGTTTGAAGAATGCTAAAATTTCTAATTATAAATTTCAACACTATTTCAACTTATAAAATAATATAATGCCTTGTTTCCACGCCAGATTCTTCTACAATTTCAAATAACGGTCAAAAACAATTCTATATAGCCTTTTAAAAATGAGTAAGTTAATTAGAAAATTTTTTCCCATAAAAAAAAAAAATACAGAAATATTATAAAATAGCAAGTAAATAAAAAATTCATACTGAAACTTACAAAACTACCGTCTACCGAAAACGCTATCTAGTATTACTTCTCGTCTATAAATATAAAAAAAAATTCATATATACATATACAAAAATTTTGATCATTAGTTGGAGAAATTTTCATATACGGTAATATCAATTTCATAGTATGTATTAATTATATTAACAAAATTTTTATTTCGTTGTCTCGCAACAAGTTAAAAAAAAATATTTTATTAGTACTCACAATGTCATTCTAGCACTATTCCATGAAAGTGTAATCCAAGCGTGTTCGTTCTGTGATCTATAAAAGTTGATCCAAAGTGTGATATCAAGGTCAAGCAGCAAATAGATTGGAAATTTCTACTAAAAAATGTCTGTTTATTAGAATACACTAATACACTAAAGAAAAAAAGAAAAAAAAACAGTTTTTAATGATCGGCGTGGCTTAGAAATTGTGTTTCATGATCAACATCAGGATCAACCATTTTTGAAAACGGCTAAGGCTTTAAAGTTTTCATATTATGCACAATTGCATGACTATCATTTTTTTCTTCTTTAATATGAGCCACATCAATCAAAAAATTTTTTTAATCGAGTACGACTATGAAAACTTAATTCATGAAGTTAATGACAATGATACTAATAATAAATAAAAAAATATTACGTCTATGGTATTACCATTTCTTTATATAAAAAAATATAATAAACGCACATGTATATTATGATAACAATGTAATACAAATAAAATTTTTCATTTCGCCTCGAGTTCTTTGAAAATCTTGTTTTACAATTGATACTACTGACCCGGAATGATCTGCATTAGAATGAATATTCAAATCTGAATAATGTAACTTATTATGCAAGCCCTAATAAAATTTTGTTGGAGGCTTACGTATTGTAGAAATCAATTAACCTATTAAAAGATTATTACCCAGTGTTGTTCTATGAATTTCCTTTTTAAAAGGGAAACCGTATTCTCATAATGGCAATATACATGAGAATGAGAAGAATAGCCGACAATTGAAAGAATAGATTGAAGATCTTTAAAAGAAATAGAAGAAGATTATTTAATTAAAATTTAGTATCATTGATGATAACAATGAAAATTTCTATTCAAGGGAATTTGGTAAGTCAATATAATGTAAACTATTGATAGAAAATTTCGAATTCCAAAAACTATATAAACCCTCACTCTTCTCCCTTCAAAAACTCTCCAGTTCGATCTGAAATAAATTAAAAGTTCGAAATCAAAATAAAATAAAAAGTCTAAAATTCAATTATGAAGATAACAATAGCTATTTGTTTGGCAATTTTGGGAGTTTCAACCCTTAATGATGGTGAGTATATATCTCGATTATAAAAAATACAAGTAAAATGTTTTTTTCTAATTTCATTTTATATATATGTAGTTACTGCTGCTCCTACTCCTAATGGTGGGATTGAATTAAATAATAAACGTGACGAGTCACCTTCTTCATATTATTATGATGATAAGAAGAAGGAAGACAAAGATGATCATTATTATTACTACAAATATGATAAAGACGACTACTACAAGAAAGATGACCACAAAGACGATTACCACAAGAAAGATGACTACGAAGATAAGAACAAGAAATACTACAGACGTAATGCCTTAGCTTCACCAGATGATTCCTACAATGACGATTACTACAAGGATGATGATTACAAGAATGAGTACTACTACGAAAAAGATGATCACAAAGACGATTACCACAAGAAAGATGATTACTACAAGAAAGATGATTACCACAAGAAAGATGATTACTACAAGAAAAATAAAAAAGATGACAAGAAATCTTATTAAAGTTTTTTTTGATAATTGATTACATGAGTGAAAATAGATTTTTATATAAAATTTATCTATCTACTAATTAATTACCTTTCAGAATTTTAATTTGTTTCAAACTTTTTTTTTTTATATTGTAAAATATCGATCTTATTTGAAAAAATGTGAATAGTTTTTTTTTATCTGTAAATTTTTAAATAGTCCCCTTCTCCTTCCCCTTTTCTTCCTATATATATTTAGTAAAAGAAAGGATTATAAATATAATAATCTATTATTACAAAAAAGAGATAGGTTAAAATATTTAATCTATTTGTATAAAATTAAGTGTAACATTTGTCATAGAGTTCAAAAAAAAAGAATAAAATGAAAATTGGATACTTACTAAATTATTCTTATATTATTTCATCATTTTCTTTTTATTTTTCGTCTTATTAGTAAATATTAACTAATATAAATTCAATATAAACTTTATAATATATTAACGCATTAAATTTATTTATTCTAGAATAATAATAATAATCAATTTGAAAATTCCATATAGTCTAACTCGTTGTACTAGAAAACGAAAGAACACGAAAGAACACAAATAATTTTATCCAAAATAATTTTTATTCACTATTAATTTTAACTTACTAAATATTTTATACATATGCTAACCATATATATACTATCGTAACATTTTAAAAATAAGCCTTGGTTAAACTTTATCGTACAGTGATGTTATGATGCCACGTACAGTGACGTACTATATTATAATTTTTTTTTTCTCACTATAAATTTAACAATTTACCTGTAATAATTATTTCAAATTCTGTTACCAATTAGATCAATTAGATTAAAAAGTTAAGTTTCAACAATACAAATTCAAATAAAAAAGATTACTATATAAAGATTGGTTTCTTCAGATAGATTAAGAATAAATTCGTAAATTTTATGATCTTAAATTTAATAAGCATTTTTTTTAATTTATTGACACAGTTTAAAACATAATTCATGCGTCCAATCGTATTTATATAATTTATTATCAAAAAATTTTAGGAAGGCGAACGTTTAATAATATTCAAAAAATGAATTTCTGATTTAAAAAAAATGAATTCACGAACAAACTGAACCAAAATAAAATCAAATGGCGTTCATTATGCATACGAGTACAAATTATTAGACGTGAAAAAGTTATGTATTGATATTAATCGAAAGAATGGGCAGGTAGTTAATGTTAAATATTTAGTAAAAATGGAAATAAATATTAAAATAAATTTAAATTCATCTTTAAAGTCAAATTTACTAGCAATATAATGATTATTTTAATTAATTTTAGCATTTAAGTTAAAGAAACTATGACATATTTTAATACCTTATTTAAAATATAATATTTTATTTAGTTCATAAAATAGTAGTTACAACTTACAAGTGACCTGTGCAATGAATGCACCCTATCAGTTTTAACGACCACCTAATAATAAAATATCAAAGAAATTTCGTATCCCATTTCTTCAACCTTCTTAATATCAAGATTACAGTCATAGGCTGTCAAAAAATTGATTGTCATATTTTATTTAGTTAAATAAAAGAAAGTGTAACAATTTAAATTATTTTAAATAAATTGTACAATAATATATAAATATATATTAATCTATAGGTTATAAATAATCGTTGTTATAAGAAAATATAAACCTGGTTTTCACTATATATTATAATAAACTAATAATCTAATTGAAATATAATGAAATTTCATATGTAGCGATTAATTACTAGTAGAATTAATATTATTATCAGTAAAATGTAGTGCTATTATATTCAATGGATTATATCCTCCAAGAACTTTTGCTAATATCTTCGCATCATTCATTTGTATTTAGTCAAAAAGGACTAGTATAAAGATGTTAATTTCCAAAGACCAAATATATTTGAAGTTGTACTTCAGTATATCTGTAACAAAGACTGATCATTGTTCTTTAGCGATTTTTATCGATGCAGGATCATGCATGAAGTATTGGAGATTTAACATTTCGTATAAAGGAAAAACAATAACTTTTTCATATCAATTTTAGTGCGGAAAAATGGAATGAACCGTTTCCGGTCACCGGTACTCTGAATGAACGCACTCTTTCCATATCAGTAATCAGGATTTTAATTATTTTTGAAGAATAACGTTAAGTAATTTAATATGTATACAGTTTTGCAGTTAAGTATTAAAAAATGCAAAAATTTTACTTTTTATAAGGAGATAAAATTTTTTTATATAAGATGAACGATAATTTTTATAAGGAGATAAAATGCTTCTTATATAAATAAAATACATTTTATATGATGAATGATAATTTAAAATGTCCATATATAGAACTTCTAGTAATATTATAACATTCTTTCGGATATCATTAAATTTCAGTGATAATTTTGATAATATCTTTTAATATGAAAGTTGAGAAAGAGTTTTGCCTCATTTCGTAAATGAACAGTTGAGAAAGTAAATGGACAGTTATTTAATATTATTCGTGTAACGTAAAAAGTTCTGTTCCACTGCCACAATACTGCCACAATACTGCCACAATTAATATAATCAATTAATGATAGATTGCGATAAACATCAATATATCTAAGATGTAGCAACTATAGATTGGTTAAAAAATTCTCTAATATCAAAATATCAAGTAAAATGCTAATCACATGAGTTTTGGTCATTTGGTCGCACATAAACTTGCATTATCGTTGGAAGACGATGATGTATTTTATCTATTGATAATTGATCGGATTCTATTATAATACTAATTTTAGAAAGTATCGCTTTGAAAAAAAAGGAAAGTATGGTTTGTATCAAAATAGGAAATGGCTAAACCTCTTTTTTTGCAGCGAGTCGAAAAGCGGAGTAATTCAATATATCGAAAAGGTATTAGTGATCGACGTGCCAATAGTTTCGTGCTACGAAACTTTATGCATCATCATATGACTAAAAACGAGTTTAAACCATTTATGGATAGGTGTCGGTAATTTGGTAATTTAGTTCCCCCTTTTTTGATTCTTTTTAATCCTTTTAAAAACGATTATATTTTTACAATCAAATGTAGGTAACAATAAGACAATAAAAACTATTTTTTTTTTTTCTTTCGTAAATTATTTAACTGACTCAACGTATTAATTTATTAAATTTTTAGATAAATATAAATACTATATTATATGATGTTTAAATCATTTCAAATATGGAATTTGTTAAATATTTTTTTGCTATTAAGCATAACTCAAATTACCTATTCAGTCCCAAATCAAAATTGGACTTTTTGGAATTATTCAAATAATGGACAAAATAAATCTTGTGCAAATTATTGTATTCTCACTTTTTCTATCATAGGATTTGTAATTTTATTATTAATCATATTTGCGATTTTGATTTATTATCGCAAGAAAAAAAGTTTAGAAATTAGAAGGAGTGATAGTATGTCAGAAGTTTATACTGGTTATTAACGTTAATAATTAATAATAAATTATTTTCTTTTCGTCATTTAATGACAGAAATAAAAAATATATTTTGTTACGTTTAATATACAGTAATGTTTTATACGTTAAACATGTTTAATATGTTACAAATTTTTTTTTGAGATTAATTATAATTTAATTATAATTATTAGAAATTAACGATTATTATATAGGAAAATTATAATCTTTTTTTATTTTTAGTTTTTAAAGGATAATAATATTGTCTTTTTCAAATAAAATAATTAAAAAATGTTTTTCTGCTGACTTATTACTAATTAGTCTATATTATCTTATTATTTAATTCAAAATGTTCAATAGATAATTGGTTGAATACCTAAAACTCAATAAATCTAGAAGTAGAAAAATAAATTAAAAATCGTTTATATTAATTAAAGAAAAAAAAATTAAACGATATCAAATAAAAATCTGCATACCGATATATTTATATACAATATCACTTATATTCCCAAATGTATGATTTTTCTTATTGTTTGTTTATCTGCAAGTAATTAATAATATTCATTAATGATCGTTTATATCCCCATATAAATACATATTTTAATGTCATTACTAATAATAATAAATAAAATATCAGTACTCAGTAGAACTTTTCTCATGTCCATTATTAACATTATTATTCAATTATATTATCATCAAGAATTAATAGTAATGTGTTATAAATAAATATATCAAAATAAGAAAAGTTAAGAAAATCAAACAATTAAAAATTAAATATGTCTTGATATTCACCAGCAGTAATAAAGTCTATAGAAAATAAAAATCCCTAACGAAAGATCCTAAATCATAATTATAGCACGTAAACTCTCTTTGACAAATTTTATCATAAAAATTAAAAACGACGCAACAGACAAATTAAATAACCAGTGTATTCACATTGTAAATTAATTATAATTAATACCCCAGGACAAATAAACGCGGAAGGTTGAAAAAATTTCGTAAATTTTTTAATCACGTGCTATAAAATGATACGTTGTACAGAATTGCAATTATATAAGGTTTGGACCATTCACAAATTAGGATTTATTTTCTTCCATTCTCTACATATTTTTTTTTTTCATTTCATTTTTTAAATTTATAAAATTAAATAATGGCTGATAATAAATTATTACCAAAATTATCACAAAATTTAATCGAAATATTAAACGATGAAGAATATTATGATATTACTATTGAAGTTGGTAATGACCCATTCATAAAAATATTTCGTGCTCATATGGTTATATTACATTATCGTTCTCCTTACTTGCGAAGAATTTTGTCAACTAATAAAAAGAAAAATGATGGAACTTTGGTACATATTAAATTACCAAATATTTCTCCTGAAATTTTTCAAATAATTTTAAGGTAAGAAAAAGAATTTATGATAAATAATTGACGCTTTTTAAACAATTAATAATTTTTAAATTTTTTTTTTCATAAATAATTATTTTTTTTTTTTAGGTATATTTATGGTGGAAACCTTTCTTTAAATGAATATGATAATTCAGATATAATTCAAATCCTAGTTGCCGCTAATGAACTTAGTCTTCAGGATTTAATTCCCTATTTACAATCATTTTTGATCGATAATAAAGCAAATTGGATGGAACAAAATTTTAATTTGATATATCAAACAAGCTTTGAAAATGATTCTTTCTCCGAACTTCAAAAATATTGTACCGATTTAATGACAAAAGAGCCAATTAAGATATTTAACTCATTAAATTTCTCCTCAATTCCAGAAAAACTTTTGATCACAATAATTCAAAATGATAATCTTCAAATGAGTGAAATTCAAGTTTGGGAACATATTCTTAAATGGGGACATGCACAACATCCAGAACTTCCTTCTAATGTCACAAACTATTCAAAAGACGATTTTAACTCTTTAAAGAGCACCTTACAACAATTTATTCCATTCATTAAATTCGATAATTTAACGTCTAAAGAATTTTTAGATGAGATATTTCCTTATAGAGAAATTTTACCTGAAGAATTACATATAAATCTATTAAAAACATTTCTAAGTCTTTCGGATCCTAATATCAAGCCAAGTGATAAGTTAAAGTCTTGTATAACTAAGGAAATTAACTTAGGAACTATTGATTCAAAAATTATAACATCTCAACATACTGAATTGATCTCAAAATGGATTAATAAGTTAGAAATTACTGACAAGTTAACTTCTCCATATAAATATAAATTATTATTTCGCGGATCCCGTGATGGATTTACACGACATAAATTTCGCGAAATTTGTAATGACAAATCCCGCACAATAACAATTATTAAAGTGAAAGGCAGCAATGAAATTCTCGGAGGATTTAATCCAATTAAATGGAAGTCTGATAATGTGTGGAGTTATACTAAAGATAGTTTTATATTTTCATTTAATAATGATATAATTGAAGATTACATCTTAAGTCGTGTAATGAATGGAAGTAAAGCCATATATAATTTAGATAATTGCGGTCCAATATTTGGTGATGGTGACCTTACTATATTAGGATACGATTTATTGGGCGAATATTGTCGTTGTAGAAAAAGATCCTATGAAAAACCAATTAGAAAAACTGAAGATGAGTTTACTGTAGAAGAATATGAAATTTTTCAAATAATTAATCAGTAGTATGTTACATTGATTAGATTTTAAATTTATTATTTCTATTTCAAAAAGAAAAAATATAATCATTGATAAATCAAGATTATTAAGTTTATGAAGTATGCTCCAACAACAGTATTAATGCTTTTTTTTGTCAACAAGCAAATGTGTAGAAATAGAAGCTTTCATTAGTATATAGCAAGAAGGTGTTGTAAAGACATAAAGCAGCAATAAATAAGAACGTTTTATCCCAAAACGAACACTGTATGGAGTATAGACTGAATGAAGTTTCCAAGCGAGTAAATACTGGATTATTGATGGATAGGATGTGTGCAGATCAGTCACTGGAAAGCCTAAATAGAAAGGACTTAGTATTTATTAGCTTTTTTAATTTTTTTTTATAATATTCACTATAAAAAAATTGTCATTTAGAATTGGGTAAAATATATTGATATACAGTATAAGCCAAAGAAATCTTCCAAAAAGAAAAAAAGATTTAATTTTTAACTTATTGTTTGGGAAACTCAAAAGCATAATATTATTCTTTTTAATAAAGTTATTACATGTGATATTCATTTAGTTAAACATTTTTAAATGTATTGTATGATTTATTAAGTTTAAAAGAATTTACTAATGCCGTAGATTGTTTTTTTTCGTAATTATTACTGCGCCATTTGATATGTAAATTTCAAAGATGAAATTTATTTACTTTGTTTTTTGTTGAATGAAAAAATTATTTTGGGTAAAGTTATTTGCTTATCACTAACTGCTAATCATCAGATTGAGACCAAGTTATACTATCTAATAAAAACATCGATATATAATAATTCTATAAAATTTGTATAATTATAACTTTACGCACGTTGAATGATATGTCATATTGGAGGATAAACAAACGTACGAACGTGAAGAAAATATCACATGATCAATATTCAGTCACGTGACAAATTTTTTACGTTGTACAGAATACATTTCCACAAATTAGGGTTCATTTTCTCCACATACTGTATTTTTTTTCTTTCTCGTAGGAAATAAATAATGTCTAAGAATAAATTATTACCAAAATTATTACAAAATTTAAGCGAAATATTAAATGATGAAGAATATTATGATATTACTATTGAAGTTGGTAATGACCCTTATATAAAAATATTTCGTGCTCATATGGTTATTTTACATTATCGTTCTCCTTACTTGCGAAGAATTTTATTAACTAATAAGAAGAAAAATGATGGTACTTTAACACATATTAAATTACCAAATATTTCTCCTGAAATATTTCAAATAATTTCGAGGTAAGAAAAAAATTTTATAATGAGAATTGACGCTTTTTAATAATAATTAAATAAATAATTTTTTTAAATTTTTTTTTATATAAATAATTATTTTTTTTTTTTTAGGTATATTTATGGTGGAAAACTTTCTTTAAATGAATATGATAATTCAGATATAATTCAAATCCTAATTGCCGCTAATGAACTTTGTCTTCAGGAATTAATTCCCTATTTACAATCCTTTTTGATCAAAAATAAAGCGAACTGGATGAAACAGAATTTTAACTTGATACATCAAACAAGCTTTGAAAATGATTCTTTCTCCGAACTTCAAAAATATTGTACTGATTTAATGACAAAAGAGCCAATTAAGATATTTAACTCATTAAATTTCTCCTCAATTCCAGAAAAACTTTTGATCACAATAATTCAAAATGATAATCTTCAAATGAGTGAAATTCAAGTTTGGGAATATGTTCTTAAATGGGACATGCACAACATCCAGAACTTCCTTCTAATGTCATAAAATATTCGAAAGACGATTTTAACGCTTTAAAGAGCACTTTACAACAATTTAGTTATTCCATTTATTAAATTCTACGATTTAACTTCTAAAGAATTTATGGATAAAGTATTACCCTATAAGAAAATTTTGCCAAAAGAATTATATAAAGATTTATTAAAATCATTTTTAAGTCTTTTGAAACCTAATAGTAAGCTAAGCAATAATTTAAACCCTCATTTAACTAACTTAAAAGCTATTGACTCAAAAATTATAACATCTCAACATAACGAATTGATTTCAAAATGGATTGATAGATTAAAAATCTCTGACAAGTTAGCTTCTCCTTATGAATTTGGATTATTATTGCGCGGATCTCGTGATGGATTTGCACGAGATAAATTTCATGAAATTTCTGATGGTATACCTCGCACGGTAACAATTGTTAAAGTGCAAGGTAGTAACGAAATTCTTGGAGGATATAACCCAAATAAATGGGAATCGGATTTTGTGTGGGTATTACTAAAGATAGTTTTATATTTTCTTTTAATAATGATAGAATTGAAGACCACATTTTAAGTCGTGTAATGAATGAAAATTTCGCTATTAAAAACGGAAGTATTTGCGGTCCATCATTTGGTAATGGAGACCTTATTATATGGGAACTTGGCTATTGTCGTTGTAAAAAAAGATCATATGAAAAACCAATTAGAAAACTGAAAATAATTTTGCTATAGAAGAATGTGAAGTATTTCGAATAGTTGGGCAATAATAAATTATATTTGATTAGATTTTTAATTCATTATTTCTATTTCAAAAAAAAGAAAAAGTATAATCATTAACAAGTAACACTATTGAAATTTATGATATAAATGATATAAATAAATTAATTTTTTTTTTCAACAAACGATAGTGAATAGTCGTGTAAAAGAATAAAAATTTTCATCAGTATATAGCAAGAAAGGTTGTAAAAAATTTCTTTGCCTAAAACGAACACTATATGAGCTGAATGAAGTTTCCAAGCGAGTAAATACTGAATTATTAGTGGATAGAATGTATGCGGATAAATCACTAAAAAGCCAGGGATTAAAATAGAAAGAATTTATTTATTAACTTTTTAATTTTTTTATTTTACTATAAAAAAATTGTCATTTAGAGTTGAGTAAAATATATCAGTATATTTTTGAAAGTAGCCAAAGAAATCTTCAAAAAAAAAAAAAAAAAAAATTTAATTTTAACTCAAACTTAAAGCATAATATTATTCTTTTTCATAAAGCTACTTACATGTGATATTAGTTAAACATTTTTAAATGTATTGTATAATTCACTATAGTCGTTTAAAAGAATTTACTAATACCATAGATTTTTTTTTCGTAATTACTGCGCCATTTGATATGTAAATTTCAAATTATTTATTTTGTTTTTTTGTTTTTGCTGAATAAAAAATTATTTTGGGTAAAATTATTTGCCTAACACTAATCATCAGATTGAGACCAAGTTATATCTTATAAAAACATCGAATGACATGTAATATTGGAGGATAAACAAGTACTTAATAAAAAGATGAACGGGATGAAATATCACATGATTTTTGGCTTATTTAGTCACATGCCAAAATGTTTACGTTGTACAGAATACATTAGCTAATTATATAAGGTTGGTCCATCATTCCATCCACAAATTAGGATTCATTTTCTCCCACATACTGTATTCTTTTCTTTTCTCATAAAAAATAAAATAATGTCTAATAATAAATTATTACCAAAATTATTACAAAATTTAACCGAAATATTAAATGATGAAGAATATTATGATATTACTATTGAAGTTGGTAATGACCCTTATATAAAAATATTTCGTGCTCATATGGTTATATTACATTATCGTTCTCCTTACTTGCGAAGAATTTTATCAATTAATAAAAAGAAAAATGATGGAACTTTGGCACATATTAAATTGCCAAATATTTCTCCTGAAATTTTTCAAATAATTTTGAGGTAAGAAAAAAAATTTTATAATGATAAAAATAGTTGACGCTTTTTAATAATAATTAAATAAAATAATTTTTTTTTCTATAAATAATTATTTTTTTTAGGTATATTTATGGTGGAAACCTTTCTTTAAAAGAATATGATAATTTAGATATTATTCAAATCCTAATTGCCGCTAATGAACTTAGTCTTCAGGAATTAATCCCCTATTTACAATCTTTTTTGATCGAAAATAAAGCAAATTGGATGGAACAAAATTTTAATTTGATATATCAAACAAGCTTTGAAAATGATTTTTTCTCTGAACTCCAAAAATATTGTACTGATTTAATGACAAAAGAGCCAAATAAAATATTCAACTCGTTAAATTTCTCCTCAATTCCAGAAAAACTTTTGATCACAATAATTCAGAATGATAATCTTCAAATGAGTGAAATTCAGGTTTGGGAACATGTTCTTAAATGGGGACATGCACAACATCCGGAACTTCCTTCTAATGTCACAAGCTATTCAAAAGATAATTTTAACACTTTAAAGAGCACCTTACAACAATTTATTCCATTTATTGAATTCTACAATTTAACTTCTAAAGAATTTATGGATAAAGTATTGCCTTATAAGAAAATTTTGCCAAAAGAATTATATAAAGATTTATTAAAATCATTTTTAAGTCTTTTAGAACCTAATAGTAAGCTAAACAATAATTTAAACCCTCATTTAACTAACTTAAAAGCCATTGATTCAAAAATTATTACATCACAACATGTTGAAATGATCTCAAAATGGATTGATAGATTAGAAATTACTGACGAGTTAACTTTTTCATATGAGTATAAACTATTATTTCGTGGATCCCGTGATGGACTTACACTACATAAATTTCATGAAATTTGTGATGGTATACCTCGCACGGTAACAATTATTAAGGTGAAAGATAGTAACGAAATTCTTGGAGGATATAACCCAATTATATGGGAATCGAGTTATGTGTGGGGTGTTACTAAAAATACTAGTTTTATATTTTCTTTTAATAATGATAGAATTGAAGACCACGTTTTAAGTCGTGTAATGAATAAAAATTGCGCTATTAGAAACGGAAGTGCTTACGGTCCATCATTTGGTAATGGAGACCTTATTGTATGGGATTTTGGTTCTAGTCATTGTAAAAAAAGATCCTATGAAAAACCAATTAGAAAAACCAAAAATAATTTTGCTATAGAAGAATGTGAAGTGTTTCAAATACTAGTTGGGCAATAATAAATCATATTGATTAGATTTTAAATTCATTATTTCTATTTCAAAAAGAAAAAAATATAATCATTGATAAATCAAGATTATTAAAGATTATGATGTATGCTCCAACAACAGTATTGACGCTTTTTTTTATTAACTAACAAATGTGTAGAAAACAGAAGTTTTCATTACTAGTATATAGCAATAAGGGTGTAAAGGCATAAAAGAGCAATAAATAAGAACGTCTTATCCTAAAACGAACACTATATGGACCGAATGAAGTTTCCAAGCGAGTAAATACTGAATTATTGATGGAAAGATTAGTCACTGGAAATGAAGCCTAAATAGAAAGGACTTATTTATTAGTTTTTTTAATTTTTTTTTTTAATATATTCACTATAAAAAAAATTGTCATTTAGAATTGGGTAAAATATATCAGTATATTTCTGATATATAAGCTAAAGAAATCTTTATTAAAAAGAATAATATTATGCTTTTGAGTTTCCCAAACAATAAGTTAAAAATTAAATCTTATTTTTTTTCTGAAAGTTATTTACCATTTGATATGTAAATTTCAAAGAAGAAATTTATTTATTTTGTTTTTTGTTGAATGAAAAATTATTCTGGGTAAAATTATTTGCTTATCACTAACTGCTAATCATCAGATTGAGACCAAGTTATATATTATACAATTTTATAGAATTATTATATATCGATGTTTTTATAATTATAACTTTTACGCACGTTAAAACGTTAAATAAACAAACGATGAAAATATCACATGATTTTGGTTGTAATTATGCCAAAATGTTTACGGGAAAATCTCGGCCATCCTTAACCTGATCCACCGGTCCAAATGCTTATCCTGGGCCAGTCAAATTTGATTGGCTAATTTCAATCAATAAAATCAATAAAATCAATTTTTTTTTACTTAGCCACACGAGTTTATATACACACAATAATACATATTAAAAGTTTTTTACCACACATCTTTTACTTATAAAAATATTGTAAGTATTATAACTACAACTATTTAAACATATGAAAATATAAATATAAAGAGTAAAAATTAATTGTGTGAACTCGTTCTTTAATATTTTTTTTTAGTAACTATGAATACTTCCGAACCTGAACCACAACAATCTTCTGAATTAAAAATTTCGGATATATTTAAAAATCATGAAGAATTTGTAGCAAGAGTTCAAAATTACGCGTCATATTGTACGGTTGAGTAAAGTAGGTCGTGATAAAGAAAAAAATATTATAAGAAGAACAATCTTATGTTCACGCGCAGGTGTTTCTGAAAGTAAAGAGGATAAAGTCAACTCAAGAGATCGTAAATCTCAAAGATGTAATTGTCCATTTTTTATCAGAGCTTCACTTGATAATAATAGTGGACTTTGGCACATTTTAGCCATGAATTTGGAACATAATCATGAAATGGTTGCTCCTGAACACAAAATGTTTCTTAGTAGTGAAAGAATAATTCCTCAAGAAATTAAAGATCGAATTATAGTTTATCATCAAGCAGGCTGTAATGTACCAACTATTCGTTCAATTCTTAAGCAAGAATATAAAGACTTAGAAACATGGATCTATAATGATATTTATAATTTCATATATCAGTTAAATGGTAAACAAGAACAACGCTTTTTTGAAGCAGAAGAATTTATAAATATCTTAAAACAACTTAAAAGAGAAATTGATGGATTTGAATACGAAGTTAGAGTTGATGTTTATACAAATGAATTACTTCAAGTAATTTGGATGTATCCTGATCAAAAGCTATATTATAGCAGATTTTTAGATGTTATTGTTTTTGATAACACATATAAAGTTAATAGGTTTAATATGCCATTTGGGATTTTTACTGGAATAAATAATTTTGGTCAAAGTTTATGCTTTGCTGGAACTTTAATGTGTCGAGAAACAATAGATAGTTTTGTATGGGTATTTAATACTTTTTTTAAGTTTGTTAATAATTATTCACCTAAAGTGATGCTTACTGACGAAGACAAAGCAATTTCTCAGGCGATAGAGATCACATTTGGACAAAATACTAAACATGTTTTATGTATATGGCATCTTTGGAAAAATGTCATCAAAAATATTGCTAATGTTCTAGGAACAAAATGGCGGGAGTTCACTAAATCATTTTACGATTGCATAAGAGAATATGAAGTTGATAATTTTATAATTAAGTGGCAGCAACTTAAAGAAAATTTTCCAGATTCAAAATCACATTTAGAAAGAATGGATAAAATAAAAGAGAAATGGGCGCCTTGCTTTATAAGAGATACATTTTTAGCAGATATGACAAGTACACAGCGTGGTGAATCTATGAATAATTTAATGAAAGGTTATATGGATGCTTCCCATTCATTATTGGATTTTTTAAAAGCATTTGAATCAGCATTAGAGCAGCGTGAAAATGATTTACAATTAGCTAAATACAAGCAAATTCATGAAAATGTCACTTTTAAAACATTAAGTCCACTTGAATATCAGGCCTCAGAAATATTAACGAATTATGCATTAAAATTAACGCAAGAACAGTTATTACAATCTACGAGTTATTTATGTATTGAACTATTAGATTCAAGGTATGTTATATATTATAAATATCTTTTTTTATTGTAACAATGTACTAATACTATAAAATGCATGATTTTTTTTAAAAAAAATAGAACTGAAACGATGCAAACTTATCAAATTTACCGTTTTAATCATGAAACCAAACCTGGAAGAAAAGTGGTACATAATGGTGAAACAAATCATTTTGTATGTTCTTGTAAATACACTACCTTCTCAGGAATTATCTGCCGACATATTTTTTGTGTAGCAACACAACTTAATTTAAATAATCTTCCAGAATCATTATTTCATAATCAATAGAGAAAAGATCCAAGTAATCTTGTTTTAACGCAAAATTTTCATTTATTTTGTAATAATATTCAATCTCCAAATGACAAAATTATTGAACGTGTTGAAGATTATGAATATTTGTTATCAAAAGTCTTTCATGAAATAAAAGGATTGGTAAAAAAGTACCCGGAAATGGCACAGGAATTTTATACTACAAACAATACGTTATTACAAAATAGAATAAAAAGTGCAAATAATCAAAAAACTTGTAAAAGTACAACAAAAAATTTAATTAGAAATCCCCAGACTGCTACTAATAATTCAAAAAAAAGAGGTATTTGTAATTGTTTTTTTTAAATTAATTTTTATTAATGTGATTATATTATTAATACTAGTTTTACTACGTTAAATTAGAAAAAAAAAGTAAAGTAATGAATGACTTATCAAATAAAAAACGGAAAACAAGATCCAATAATAGCAGTGGATTGTCATTACAAGAAAAAGAAAATATTCCCAAATATGATGATAAAAAAAATGATAATATTAACGCATCTAGTTCAATGCATAGGGTATTTCAGAATTTACCACAAATATCAGTGACGGAATTAATGGATATGGAAATAGTGGAAATAGACAATGGTTTAAGCAAAAAAAAAGGTATAGTCTTATCACTATTTATTATTTTTCAAATTTAAATATCAAAAAGGTATTAAAGATTAACTATACATTACTAGATAATGAATTATTTTGTCTTTTTTGCAATCAATCTTTGCCTAATCCTTTACCAAAAAAGTTGCTTGATTATTTGAAAATATTACAGAATAAAGGTATAAAAATAACATTTATTTATTATTATTTATCTTTATGATTATAAAAATTTTCTCAATTTATCGTTACATATTTGTTTGTTTTTAGATAAAATATTAGAAACTGATCGCGCGGAATTTTGTTTTATGCACTATGCAGAAACTGCAATTGTATAGTAATTATTTTGATGTAAATAATCTGTCAATAAAAAATTTTTTAATAGTAAAATGTAATTCTTGCACGAAATAAATACATTATAAAAAATTATGCATTTTTTAGTTGAAAATTTAATTTTATTCTGTCTGTATTTTGTATATAAAATTCTACAAAAATATAACAATTTTTGCCCAATCAAATTCGAGGTCCAGGATAAGCGTCTGGACCGTGGTCCAGGATAAGGATGCTCTTTTTTTCGTTTCACGATATAACACATGACAGGTAGATCAGTAGACAATACTAAAATTTTGGTGGTTGCACCGCTTTTTGTTTAACCGTTGGAACTTGGAACTCTCTTTTTTTGCAGTATCTAAAAAGCAAATTTTTATATAAATATGTCTGATATTCGTTATGATTTAATTAGGCGGGTGATTGTGAGAGCAGTATTATCAATTAATTATAATATTCACAATGACTTTCATAAACAACACGAATTTATGCAACAAGCAATCCTTGATGATAATTCTCTTACAGAAGAAGAAAAAGCTGAAGCAGTAAAAAANCTGTCTCTTATACACATCTAGATGTGTATAAGAGACAGATCTTGACCCACTGCATGCACGTTGTCGATCACATATATTTTACAATACACCATGAATAGGATCGACAACGTGCATGCAGGTGGGTCAAGTTTCACGTACGTGACGGGTCAAGATTCATATATTTGCCTGAGGGACAGTTTTTTTTACTAGCCTGATCCTTATTTGTCACAACATCGGAAATCACACCAGGACCCAGAAATATATATATAGGGGTCAGGTGATGAAAAAATTTTTTTACTACGCATTTTTTCAGGGCCGGAATTATGATATGTCAGTCGGTTACTATAATAGGAAATAAAATTCTGACTGAAATTATCAAAAATTATCTAAAAAAGGAAAGATTTTCATGATTTTTTTAGTTCAAAATACGCAAACTCAAACCTGACCCTTTTATATATATTTCTGGGTCCTATCACACCCCAACAAATATTTTGTGTAACCGAGGGTGGTGTGGTAAGACTACCCATGTTAGAATACATTAGCTAATTACATGAACTCCATCGGTCCATCCACAAATTAGGGTTCATTTTCTCCATATTGTATTTTTTTTCTTTTCTCGTAGGAAATAAATAATGTCTAATAATAAATTATTACCAAAATTATTACAAAATTTAACCGAAATATTAAGTAATGAAAGTAATGAAGAATATTATGATATTACTATTGAAGTTGGTAATGACCCTTATATAAAAATATTTCGTGCTCATAGTATGGTTATTTTACATTATCGTTCTCCTTACTTGCGAAGAATTTTATCAACTAATAAAAAGAAAAATGATGGTACTTTAACACATATTAAATTACCAAATATTTCTCCTGAAATTTTTCAAAAATTTTGAGGTAAGAAAAAATTTTATAATGATAAAAATAGTTGACGTATTTTAATAATAATTAAATAAAATAATTTTTTTTTCTATAAATAATTGTTTTTTTTAGGTATATTTATGGTGGAAAACTTTCTTTAAATGAATATGATAATTCAGATATAATTCAAATCCTAATTGCCGCTAGTGAACTTAGTCTTCAAGAATTAATCCCATATTTACAATCCTTTTTGATCGAAAATAAAGCGAATTGGATGAAACAAAATTTTAATTTGATATATCAAACAAGCTTTGAAAATGATTCTTTTTATGAACTTCAAAAATATTGTACTGATTTAATGACAAAAGAGCCAATTAAGATATTTAACTCATTAAATTTCTCCTCAATTCCAGAAAAACTTTTAATCACAATAATTCAAAATGATAATCTTCAAATGAGTGAAATTCAAGTTTGGGAACATATTCTTAAATGGGGACATGCACAACATCCAGAACTTCCTTCTAATGTTACAAACTATTCGAAAGACGATTTTAACGCTTTAAAGATTACCTTACAACAATTCATTCCATTTATTAAATTCTACAATTTAACTTCTAAAGAATTTACAGATAAAGTATTACCTTATAAGAAAATTTTGCCAAAAGGATTATATAAAGATTTATTAAAATCATTTTTAAGTCTTTTAGAACCTAATAGTAAGCTGAACAATAATTTAAACCCTCATTTAACTAACTTAAAAACCATTGATTCAAAAATCACTACATCTCAACATACTGAATTGATCTCAAAATGGATCAATAGATTAGAAATTACTGACAAGTTAACTTCTTAATATAAATATAAATTATTATTTCGCGGATCCCGTGATGGACTTACACGAGATAAATTTTATGAAATTTGTGATGGTATATCTCGCACAGTAACAATTATTAAAGTAATAGATAGTAACGAAATTCTTGGAGGATATAATCCAATTAAATGGGAATCGGATTATGTGTGGGGTATTACCAAAGATAGTTTCATATTTTCTTTTAATAATGATAGAATTGAAGACCACATTTTAAGTCGTGTAATGAATGAAAATTGTGCTATTGTAAACGGAAGTATTCGCGGTCCATCATTTGGTGATGGAGACCTTATTATATTAGAATACGATTTATTTAGCGTATATTGTCGTTGTAAAAAAAGATCTTATAAAAAACAAATTAGAAAAGCTAATATTGTATTTACTATAGAAGAATGTGAAGTTTTTCAAATAATTGATCAGTAGTATGTTGCATTGATTTTTTAAATTTATTATTTCTATTTCAAAAAAGGAAAAAGTATAATCACTAACAAGTAAACATTATTGAAATTCATGATATAAATAAATCTATGCTCCAATTAAAGTATTAATTCTTTTTTTTCTCAACAAACGATAATAAATAGTCGTTTAAAAGAATAGAAATTTTCATCAGTATATAACAAGAAGAGGTTGTAAAAATTTCTTTGTCTAAAACACTATGAACTGAATGAGGTTTCCAAGCGAGTAAATACTGAATTATTAATGGATAGAATGTATGCCAATAAACCACTGAAAAGTCAGGGTCTCAGGGATTAAAATAGAAAAAACTTATTTATTTTTTTATTTTACTATAAAAAATTGTCATTTAAAGTTGGGTAAAATTATCAGTATATTTTTAAAAGCCAAAGAAATCTTCCAAAAAAAAAAAGATTTAATTTTAATTCATTATTTGGGAAATTCAAAAGCATAACATTAGTATTCCTTTTCATAAAGCTATTTACATGTGATATTAGTTAAACATTTTTAAATGTTTTGTATGATTTACTAAGTTTAAAAGAATCTACTAATGCCGTAGTTTGTTTTTTTTCAACTACCCCAGTGGCAATTTAGCGATCACGTGACCAATTTTATCGATCATTACCAAAAATTGTAAGCAGATTTAACGAAAAAATAAAAAAAATAAGAATAAAACACAATATAAACGCCATAAATTTTTTAAACTTACATGGTTTGTGTATTTTTGAACGCTCTACAAATTTACCTATACGATAAAAATACGCTTAAATATAAATTTTTGACTTTTTATATGATAATTCGTAAATAATTAATTTTACAAAATTCTGTATTCAAAACTACCTTTATTGCCTAAGTAAACTTGCAGACCAAGCAAATTTAGGTATAGTGTATGAATTTTAAAATTAGAAAATGTCTGTAGTAAGTTTTATTCAAAAAAAATAATAACAATAAATTTTTTCGTTAAATCTGCTTACCATTTTTGGGAATGATCGATAAAATTGGTCACGTGATCGCTAAATTTGTCGGTGCCACTGGGGTAGTTTTTTGCAACTAAATTTTCATGATTACTGCGCCATTTGATATGTAAATTTCAAAGAAGGAATTTATTTATTTTATTTTTTTGTTGAATTTTGTGCCTGACACAGAGTGAGTGTCACTAATCATCAGATTGAGACCAGGTTATATCTTATACAAATTTTATAGAATTATTATATCGATTTTTTTATAATTATAACTCAAACGTTCGAAACGTGATGAAAATATCACATGATTTTTGGCTGCAATTATTTAGTCACGTGCCAAATGTTTACGTTATACAGAATATATTTAGCTAATTATATAAGGTTGGTCCATCACAAATTAGGATTTATTTTCTCCACATTTTTTTTTTTCATAGAAAATAAATAATGTCTAATAATAAATTATTACCAAAATTATTGCAAAATTTAACCGAAATATTAAATGATGAAGAATATTATGATATTACTATTGAAGTTGGTAATGATCCTTATATAAAAATATTTCGTGCTCATATGGTTATTTTATATTATCGTTCTCCTTACTTGCGAAGAATTTTATCAACTAATAAAAAAAAAAATGATGGTACTTTAACACATATTAAATTACCAAATATTTCTCCTGAAATTTTTCAAATAATTTTGAGGTAAGAAAAAAAAATTTTATAATAACAATTGACGCTTTTTAATAATAGTAATTAAATAAAATAATTTTTAAAATTATTCTTTTTTTATAAATAATTATTTTTTTTTTAGGTATATTTATGGTGGAAACCTTTCTTTAAATGAATATGATAATTCAGATATAATTCAAATCCTAATGGCCGCTAGTGAACTTAGTCTTCAAGAATTAATCCCATATTTACAATCCTTTTTGATCGAAAATAAAGCGAATTGGAGTGAACAAAATTTTAATTTGATATATCAAACAAGCTTCGAAAATGATTCTTTCTCCGAACTTCAAAAATATTGTACTGATTTAATGACGAAAGAACCAGTTAAGATATTCGACTCATTGAATTTTTCTTCAATTCCAGAAAAACTTTTTCTTTCGATAATTCAAAATGATAATCTTCAAATGAGTGAAATTCAAATTTGGGAACATGTTCTTAAATGGGGACTTGCACAAAATCCAGGTCTTTCTGCTGATGTCACAAATTATTCAAAAGACGATTTTAACGTTTTAAAGGGTACTTTACAACAATTTATTCCATTTATTAAATTCTACTATTTAACTTCTAAAGAATTTACAGATAAAGTATTACCTTATAAGAAAATTCTGCCAAAAGATTTATATAAAAATTTATTAAAATCATTTTTAAGTCTTTTGGATCCCAATAGTAAGCTACTAAGCAATAATTTAAAACCTCATGTAACTAACTTAAAAACCGTTTATTCAAAAATCATTACATCTCAACATACCGAATTGATCTCAAAATGGATTGACAGATTAAAAATTACTGACTATAAGTTAACTTCTCCTTATGAATTTAAATTATTGTTTCGCGGATCCCGTGATGGACTTACACCACATAAATTTCACGAAATTTGTGATGGTATACCTCGCACGGTAACAATTATTAAAGTGAAAGATAGCAATGAAATTCTTGGAGGATATAATCCAATTAAATGGTATTCTAGTAATATATGGGGTTTTACTAAAGATAGTTTTATATTTTCTTTTAACAATGATAGAATAGAAGATTACATTTTAAGTCGTGTAACGAATAAAAGTTTTGCCATAAATAATGGAGATCCGTATGGTCCATCATTTGGAACTAGAGACCTTATTATATGGAAACTTGGTCATTGTTACTGTGAAAAAGGTTCTTATGAAAAACCAATTAGAAAAACTGAAAATAATTTTACTGTAGAAGAATGTGAAGTGTTCCAAATAGTTGAACAGTAGTAGTTTTCAAATTTATTATTTCTACTTAAAAAAGAAAAAAAAATTTTAATCATTAATAAATAAATTTGATATAATCACATATATTGATCTGGATGGGTAGCACTTAGTAATATAGCTTTTTTTGAATTTACAAAATAAAATATAAATAAAGTGACTAGGCGATCTGCTTCAATCAGCAGTATTAATGCCTTTTTTTCCTCAACAAACAAAAGTAAATACTTGTGTAAAAGAATAAGCTAGTAAAACAAGGATAGGTTGTAAAGATATAGAAGAGCAATAAATAATAAGAACATCTTCACCAAAACGAACACTCAGACGAATAAATCTACTTATACTATCAAATTTACTGAGTCGTCAATGAATAGAATGTATCTGTATAAATCACTAGAAAGTTAGAGGTTAATTTATTTATTAGCCTTTGAAATTTATTTATATATCATAAAAAATTGACACTAATAATTTAGTAAAATAGTCAAAGAAATAAAAAAGATTTTATAAAACTCAACTTTTAAATTACGAATGATTAATATTTGGGAACTCAAAGACATTATTATTATTTCAATATATAATTTTATACGTTTAAATTGAAATAATTTACCGATGTCAGATTTTTTTTTTTTGTAATTACTGCGCTATTTGATGAAAAATTTCGAAAAAAATAGTACTATTAGGGTAAAATTTGTGCCCTATAAACGAAATATGTTAAATTCGTTTTATATCTGTGTTCATGTGTAAAAAAGTCTAAAAAAGCCCCATTTTGTCTGTACCATTTTGTCCGTTATTGCAAAAAACAAAATTAAACAAAATGGTGCTTTTTTAGACATTTATTACATATGAGCACAAATTTAACTTAGTTCGTTTTATAGGAGTGAGATTAATAATTTTGTGCATGTTAAATAACGAGTTAGATTAGAAGATGATTTTCCTTATATCCAAATTACTATTTCAGTTTATCTTGAGCTTAGTGAATAAAGCGGAATATGATAGTAATATGGTGACGGCATTAGCGCAATTCTTTTGTTCATCTTATAATATTAATGGAGTAATGAATATGGGGCAATATAAAAAGTTTTTTCTATCCAGCGATCATGCGTATAATATTAATCACGATTAATGTGTCACAGGATTTACTGCTTATCTATCAAGATATGTCTCAGTCCTTTGGACGATCACGCAGAGATGCGCATAAATTACTAGTGTATATATTGCCGGATTCGAGTGACGAATACCAACTGAGGTATAACCCAGAGTGTTATTATTATTCCTACTAGTTAATCAGAAATGTAAAGCTTCTTAAGACGGAGATAAGATGTAAACTATCGAATTAAATAAATATTTTTATTATGATATTGTAGTGAATAAAATACTGATTTGATCGAAACCCAAGTTTAGTTGATGTTGTATATTCTATATTACCAAAGGAAACCTTTTACTGATGTGAATTGTGTTGTCTAATGGACCTCTTAACATTTGTGAAATGCAAGAAATAATAGATAATACTAGTATGTAATAGTATTGTTTGTTATTGATAATAAAATCCATTCGCAGAAATAGCATTATATCACAACATTTTATTAATACATAGTTCGAGACGTAGCCATGATACATTGGGTGTTCCATGTTTCATATAATAAATATTAGACGCTCATTTAAAGCGGATAATTGGATTATTGGAATTTCTGCCAAATTGCAATATATGCAGAATTTATAAATATAATTACAGTGTTACTAATTTTTTTTAGAAAAATATTTATCAAATAATCTGCATTATCTTGTAAAGATTTAAGCTATGTAACGGTTGATTCGTTCTTTCCATTAAATTATCTGAAAACTTTTAAAATTTGACAACTCATGTTATATTAACATTTGAGCAATACAATTGATTTAAATAAATAAATTATAACCTTAGTTAGAAATATGAAATGAGCGATTTTTGCGTAAATTCTAAAGAAAAATTATTGTTTTCGAAATGTTAATGACTTTTTTTTAAAATAAAAACTATCTAGTATTTTACGAAAGAGACAGATATTTAGAGTACTTCCACGAAATTTGAAATGAAATTGTTAAGAAGAGTCTAGAGTTATAAAAGTTTGAAAAAGAATCATTTTTTAATAGGAAACTTCTTATAACTGAAAGCGAATTATAATTTATTTTAGAAAATCTCTAATAGTAAATTTTTATATGATACCATACATAATTTTAGGAAATACCTTATGAAAAAATCAAATTAAGGATAGAAATTTTATCATATATCACTGGGGTGTTCCATCAATTAAGTAAATCAAAATTATCTTCTGAATATTATTTTTAATTGAAATAGATTGCGAATTTAAATCATCAAGTATAATGTTGAAGTTAATAACAAAACAGTTAAAAATAAGTAATATAACCATCATGATAATAAACAATACATCCGAAGAAATACCATATTTCTGTATATCAAGAATATACTTCGTATGAGATACAAGACAGAAAATATATATTTACTAGCAATAAGCGTTTTCAGTGAACCCAATTCTTCAAGAATTTGTTTCTTTGATTCCGTTAATTTCTCGTCTAGATTAGGGATGCCAATGGTCAGTTCGGTTCAGTTTCGGTTTTAAAACTGCAGTTTTCAACCAAAATTGACCTGACCGCAAAACTGACTGATAAAACTGACTGATAAAACTGGACTATAAAACTGGTTGCAAAACTAAATAAAATAATGTTATGAAAGGACTAATTATAATTTCATTGAAATAATGCCGATTTTGTGATTTTTCAGAAACAAAAAATCACGTGATCAATGCATATAAAAATTGAAGTTTTGCCAATAATTTCTAAAATTTTAATGTATTCTTGATGAAAAAGCTTAATTTTACAATAGATAACGCTGAAAAGGTTTTATATTCTATTACATAACCTTATCCCCAGAGTTGCTTGATCAAATTATTTGAAGCTCATATCAATTCCCACAAATCTATCAATCCATCCTTTTACCTTTTGTATATGATTTATTATTAGATATATGTATATAATAACATCTGGAGATATCGTTGTTCGTTATTCAAAGACCCAGGATTGGATACAGATACCGCATCGTCACGAAATAACAACAATTCCTTCATCTAACATCGGTTACATTAATCCCTATATGGATGTCAGACTTCGCTACAATTAAGAAGGTAGGTTATCGCCACCTCTTCGAATTTTTTTCACAATAGTTGTTGGTTTAATTTCTTAACATTTTCCATTAGATAATTTGATAATCTTCCTTTTATTGACATTTAGTTACCACTTCCCTTATAAATTCTTTTTTTAGTTTAATAGCATCTCGGTACTAGTTTATTTGTGTTCCTATTTTTATTATCGTATCATCTATCGGGTCGCGTAAACTTTGTAGATTACTCATAATCAATTCCTGTATGTACCATTCTTCTTGTCAACAAAATAAAATAAAATAATCCGGACACGCATGTCCGCAGTTGATCGATCATATACGCCTTAATAAGGATCAAAAACACCTGCATGAGAAAAATAGAAAAATTCTTTTTTAGTTTGCAAATTACATAATAAATTACCAGCATGAATATGATAGAATTATTATAATAATACATGATATTAATTTAACCCAACTATACATTATTATAATATACATGATATTAATTGCTATACATTATTATAATAATACATGATACTAATCAGTAAAATCTAACAAACAATAATATCAATCATTACTCCAACGAATTATCAGTATATCTGACCCTTTTAGCTTGAGGAGTGAACTCCGTAAAACTTTTTGGACGTGATTTGACAGCTCTCTTAGGAAGACGTGGTAAAGCTGACATTAGCTTTCCATTGCGTATAGTATTTGTTTTCCTATTAAGCAGTGCTTTAAGTGCAATTCCATCTTGACTTACATCTGTCCTCAAATATGCCACTAAATTCAATGCATTTGCAACATCAACCTCTTGATTACCAGTATGAAGTTTGAAAGTGATGTTGTTTTCTTCATAAGCATAAATCAACGTTCCCTTTTCCTCATCATAGATTGCTCTCATTAAACCCAGATGAATAGTTGTCCCATTTATCAAGCCAATATGAAGACGAGTTGAATTTACTTCATCTTCCGATAGATAGAATGCAGCTGTGAGAATGCGATTATATTCGAATGCAGCTTCTGCTGTCACGACTACTTCGTCCTTATGGACTGAAAATCCATCAGTCTCAGACTCAACTATAAAAAAGGGAAACTGTTGATCGATACTGTTAAAGATAACAGCAGCAAAATCGGATCTAGCTGACCCGTTCTCGCCGTTACCTGGGATTTGGTGATGATATTCCCAATTTACATCGATATCATCATCTGAATAAATAAGGAAT